CAGAAAATGAATTTCAAAATTTATAAATTCATTTACTTGTCATTATTTGTTTATTTATATTTTCTTTTTTATAGTTCAGAGATTTTTTTATAAATTTATAAATAACAAATTTATTTTCAAATTTTTTCTCTTTATACTGTAATAAAATAAATTTTGTATTACAGTTGGTTCACATATTTTTATACTCTTTACTAGTGTTTAACAGTTCTGTTGCCAATTCTAAAGAAAAAAAATGTATAAATCAGGTTTCATATGATCTAAAAATAGCTTTTTAAAATAATGAAAATTACCAGGGGAATATACAGTAATAACAGATTCAAGAGATATGCTGTCCTTCTGACACACTGTATTTTTTTTTGCAGGTATGTCTGTTAAACTTTACTAAATTTTCTTAATAATTTAAGCTTTGTTTTATGAGGGGTACTTACACCAAAAATGGGATGTTGCTGCTACATCTAAGCTGGAACTGCACAGGCCTTATTTTCCAGCCTTGATAGAATCCAAAATCACTTAAATGGTCTTGTGGGAGATGACTTATTCTGCACTCTGCATCTCTTTCCTGCAGACACAACATTGAAAGTCTATTGCTATTCTGTCACTATTTCCATGTTGTTCAGATGAGTGCTCCTTTCTTTAGTTTCATCAGTTCAGACCTTTACAGCAAGGACATGCCATGTTGCTTTCACATGGTCGAATCTTCATTATTTCCTCTGTTTTCAAAATATAATGTCTTTCATTTGGACAGCTTTTTCCCCAAGAACTGTTACTTTGTGAAAAACTCATGTGGATCCTTCCTTGAACACTACAATCATGTCACGTCTCTATTGTAATCTATCCTCCTGATTTACATAATCTTCACTTCCTACTACCACCTCATTCATCATAATTTTTTTAACAGTAACCCACTACTTTGAATGACTCTTGAGCCTTGTATTGGGTGAAAAAAAAAGTTCTTCAAAATGCATCAGTAACTTTGGTCCTTGATGTTACTCATGCCTTCTGACCATCTCAAGCTTTGTTACCAGTGATCACTGTTCAAGCCCAGGCAGAAGCTGGGATTTCTAAGACATTTTCAATCACAGTCATCTTATTATTTTCCATTATTTAATCTTGTATTATAAAAAGCTAAATTTGGGACAGTATCCTGAGACTTAATTTTCGAAATCAATGACTTCTTTGTATCCTAAGCCAGATTGTCAATATGAGAGTGAATAGTATCATTCAACATTGAAATTTACTTCATCGTCTGATAGGCAGAGTTTCCCAAGACTAGCTTGGTGCAGGTCAGAAAACATGGTTTTAACAACATTTCCCCAATCATATGTCCCTTCTTATTCTTTGTGCACTCATAGGCAACTTTGTATGATGCTTTCACAATTGCAGCTGTTTAGTTTTGGAAGGTTCCAGCCATGCCTAATGTTGCTTGTTTCAAATTGGCCTCTTTAAGCTTGAAAAATGCATGATCCTTGTCTCTGAAATATGCATGGCTGTTTTCAAGATGTTTCAACTGGAATCATTTCATGGAGCTGTTCTCCAAATTGATAAACACTGTATTAACATCTCATAAACTTCTTTTATTTATATTTTGTTGTATCTTGTAACTATAGGTTGGTTGATAGAGGAGTATATGTGAATTTGTATATATATATATATATATATATATATATAATGTATATATATGCATATAAATAGTAAAGGTAACAAATCCGCTGGTATATAATACAAGTGGATACTAGTAATATAAAATATTAAAACGGTATCTAGCCCCCCCCCCACGAGTGTTGCATGTGGCACAAGGCCGAGTTTATCATGGGTTTCCCGAGCCCGTAGGCTCAGCCAAAAAATGGCCGTATAACCCGTATAAACAAGATCGGGTAGGTCATTCTCCCCGAACGAGATTCTGCCCTTCGGCGGAACCTCGTCCAGGTTCCTTTCTGCTCGAAAGCAGAGAGTTCGACCGTCAAGTCGAGAAGCTCGGCTTGAATCGACTATAAAATATAAAATATTAAAACTGATTCACAAAAAGAGCTTAATGTATTTATTATTACAGAGCAAATAATTAATACACAATAAAATCCCAAATCACCTCATATGGGGAATAAGCTTATTTTGGCAGACAAAAATATGTCATATTTTTTATCAGTCCCTGTATCGATTGATTTCGTGTTAGAAATAGAAATTTAACAGTGAAAGTTAAAATAATAACAATAATAATAATACAGAATTTATCCATTTCCATGTTTCGGTCAGATGAAAGGCACGAGACAGAGGTCAGGGGAGGGTGGAAAGGAAAATGGTTTTATAAAATTAAACCCGGATATTAATCTTATAACATTAAATTGGGGTTATATGAAGAATGAAATATTGATTTTAAAACTAAGAAAGGAATAAAAGGAGTTTAAAAATAAATTTAAAATACATATTCATATTTAAAAATACAAAGCTATATTCAAAAATAAGTTATATTTAAAAATGTTACATTTAATATAATAAAATAAATTATTTATATTTAAAAATAAGAAATGTAATAAAATAAAATATTTAAAAATAAAAATAGAATAAATAAGTTATTTAAAAATAAGTTATATTTAAGAATACAAAGTTATATATAAAAACAATGTTAAAATATATAGATAAAGGGATGTAAGTACTTAAAGGAAAGAGAGTTCTTAGAGTAGGGGAAAATTTATGAATTATAATTAAATAGTGTAAAGAGGGGAATATAGAAATTAGAATTAGTTAAACATTCAGCATTTAAAGAGTTAGAGGGGAGTAAATATCATGGAAATATAGTAGCTAATTAAGTAAAATCTACATTATGGAAATTTGAATTTGTTTTTATGTCAACATTCTAACATTAATTCATTCCTCTGATTTAAGAGTTGCCTTTGATTATTGTATTTTATTATTCTAATTCTTTCTTCTAAACATGAGTTACACCTATCTCTAAGACTATTAGGAGCACATGCAGAACCTATAATCTTCTAAAAACATCTATTAAACTATAACTTATTTTTAAATATAGTTTTGTATTTTTAAATACAACTTTGTATTTTTAAAATGATTTTTAAACCCCTTTTTATTCATGTATTCTTAGTTTTAAATTAATATTTCATTCTTCATATAACCCCAATTTAACCTTTACCATGCTAATTTCTTACCAGAATTGTTCCTTCTGCCACTGCATTTCTTTTGAGAGTGTGAAAACATGAACATGTACTGTTTTAAAATTGTTATAACTTGCTTTGTATTGTGCATATAGATTTTAATTTTTGTATGCTAATAAAATAATGAATGAGTAATATTTTGATGTAATGTATTACGTTTTGCATGCATGTTTTGACATTGAAATCCACCCCCCAAAAAAACAAATACATTAAAAAATTCAACATACTTTAACTTTTATTACTCCTTTTATTGAGGTTTGGTTTCAATACCAAAAAATCAAAATTTATATCAAAAAACCAAATGTCAATAAAATTAATTATGAATACTCCACAAACATTTTAAAATGTGTACAACAGATAGTCTTTAAATATTAGTGCTTGTCATTAATAGTTTTTCTTTTATCTAGCAACTACTCAAGCCCAGAACTTTTCTACAGCATACCTAGTTATCTCCCCTTAAATGGTGATTGTCAACCGGTCATGACACAGCATTCGTGACTCCACATATAAAAATGGAAATCTTCCAATGACCACACAATTTTTGTCCTTCACAACCATAAACACTAAACACTTACACTATATTTAACAATACTCCGATGATGACATTATGCTATACCGAAAGTACTCGGAATAAATACAATATGAGCCAACACAGTATTTTCCTCTCTTCTTTTAACAACCACACAAAAAGCTTATTTGTGAATATGAAAGGATCTTATTGCAAATAAGTAGATAGAATGTGTAAATTATTTAACAAAACCTGTCTCAATGAAAACATGCTGCTGAAATAAATGCACACACACACACACACACACATATATATATATATATATATATATATATATATATTCTAAGCAAGGATTCATGTATTTGAGCAGGATGTGTAGGTGGTACAATGGATAGCATCTTGGAATGAGAAATTGGAGAGATCAAAGTACAAAGTTCTAGTTAGATTCCTTATATTCACATACAGTAGATAAACTGTGTATGAATTCATCCCTTCCACTTCATTATTATTATTATCAAAGAGTTATCAATGTGATATTCACTCACAAATAATAATTATAATCCAAAATTACATTTCAGCTTTAAATAATCCACAAATGATTGATAAACTGTACAAACAAACAAACAAACAAATCAATCAATCTTGCTTTTGATGTCCGAAGTCTTCCATAACTTTTCTTGTGGATATTCTGAATAGTTTCATCTGCTTCAAATTTCACTCTAATGTAATTGATAGTAAATCACATAGGTGTATTTGTTTTAAACACTCTTCTGAACTGTCTTCACATTTCAATTGTGTTTTCAAACTTTCATTAGCAATTTAGGATAAATTTTCTTTGTTCAAAGTTTAGCCTGGTTGTTATCATTATTTTTAATGGGTAAAATGTAAAAAAAATGAAAATTAAGTAATTTATTAGCTGTTAAACTGTGTGAGTAAGTGTGTTTTTTTTTTTTTGTGTGTGTGTGTGTATATATATATATATATATATATATTTATTTACACACACACACACAAAACACATATACTGGTTTGATTAAAAAAAAAATGAAAAGGTCTGTCTATTTTATTGTATTGGGATCAAAATTGTGGATAGAGTGTCTGAAGTTCATGTTTGTATTGTTGTTTGTTCAAGTAATTTTGACTCATTCATTTTCAACAATAAATGTAGTGTATGTGTAGTAGGCAAAATTCCTTTGTCTACATACTCTTATTCTTTATAAAGTTAGAAGTTTGAAATAGTCCACAGTGAAGCCTTGCTCAATGGGAGCAACACCACACCAAAACAACAGCACAAACATGAATTTTGGACAGTTTATTTAAAGTCTTATGGCCACATCATGTTGAAACATTGGTTCCTGTATGATCACCAAAGTTAAGCAATGTCAAGCCTGGTCAGTATCTAGATGAGTGACTGCTTGGGAATACCAGGTACTGTAAGTTTGGATGTGCATGTGGTGAAATGGATAACGGCTTGGAATTGTTAATCAGAAAGCCAAGTTCAATTTCCTATTGTGTTCATTATATTCACATACAATTTTTATCAAATGTTGGATTTACCAAACATCAGGCCCTGGTGAGTGTTTTGATATGAAAGTCAGATAGTTCACTTGAACTTTTCTTGATTTATTTTATATATATATATATATATATATATATATATATAAATGGTAAAAATCCTTGACAACTTAAAAGCTTGCTCTTAAACCAATTGGTACATTTCATGAGCAATGTTTACTTCACTCCCAAAAAACAACCTGAACCTACCTGCTATCCTAGTAGTAGAAGTTGTGGGGAAACTTTTAGCATAGAATTTATGGTTACATTTAGATAACTCAACTGTAAATTGATGAGACCTTGAGCAAGTTTTCTATTCCTCCAATTTGAGGTGTTAACATCTGCTGATAAAGCTGAATGTTTCACCTGTAAATCCTCTTTAAACTCTATTCTTGACTCATCTGCTTAACTTTTCAACTCTTTTGATTGATTTCCATAGTTTATGCTTTCATCTTTAATCTGGCTCCCTACAAAGCATGTAGACCTGTTGGTATTCTTGTAATAGCCATGAAGAAATGTGCTCCCAAACTGGCTCCTGTTCTCTATAAACTGTATGACAAATGCCTTGCTGCCTCTTGCAAATCCTTATCTGTTGTTCCAGTTTTAAAGAACACAGACGAACTGTCTGACCCTTCCAACTATCAGACTTATACCTCTGTTTATGCCAGATTATGCACTCTCAGAAACTGCAACTTAGATATGATCAGCTTTGTGGGTGTTGAAGAAATACAGATGTGTCTGAACAGATGTCTGCAACTGGGATTAGTTAGCTATCCTGGCAGACAGGTGTACTGGGAAATGTGCAGTGAACCAACATATATATTTAGTTTATTTAAAACATTGAACTGAAATTTTCATTGCTGGTTGGTGAGACTAATTAATATTTAATAAAATAATCTTTTGACATCAAAATGATAATATCTGAAATGATTATCTCAGTTTCAAAATTAATTCTATATTTGATAATTCTTTAGTGTTTGAAAACATCTATAAATAAAAGATTGTCATGCATTAAACATTTTTAATATTCTGAATAAAGAAACATAATTTGAATTTAATACTTTTTTGTTTGTCTGAAAGACAAGATATTTTCATATTAAATATATGTACAGGGTGACTATAAAGTCTTGATACATACATTTGGAAGAAAATGGTCATTTCACAGAAGGTTGTTATTCAGCACCGAAGCTTTGTCTTATATGAACAGTGAGGTTAACTAACAGAATACTTGGTACTGGTCACAATCTGCATTAGATGGACCCTTCCAAACAGGAAAGAATGCCGCAGATTATTATGTCATGTGGATTGTGAAAAACTCAACTGTTGGGACCATTTTTCTTTGATGGTAATGTAACTGGTGAGACGTAATGTTTTATTGCATGCTAACAGGAATATATACTTGAAAAATAAGGTCGATAAAATAAGTAAAGGTTTATTGTAAAAAACCAGTAAAATAAGAATAAAGATAATATTTTTGCACAAGGTCATCATAAGTCAATCTAGTAGTGAGTGCTACGATTGTAAGGTCGGTAGTTCTCAAGTAAATCTGAGTCATACTTAACAGATCTCAGCTAGTCTCCATAGTCCGTTGACTTACAGATACATATAGACAGTTACTACTTATAGTGTAGTCACTCATGGAGGTGACAGATTATTCCATTACATCATGTACCTTCACCATATTTAGAGAGACCAGTTAATTGAAAGACTAGGTGAGGGCCTCCCTGAGTGATTTCAACACAATGGAGCTAAGAAACTGACTGAATGACAATTTCCCTAATTGGGAGATATGGCCGGGTAGAATGGGCTCCTTGCTTCCCGAATATTAGTCTCCTCGACAACTTTTTCTGGGGTATGATGAAAGAGAAGGTGTACAGGTATATCCTGACTAAACATTCACCCTGTATATTTAATTAATACTACCTCTGTCCCATCTTCCTCTACTATATGTGGGCGATCATGGCTCTCCACAACTTCTTATCCTTTGTAGCACTAAGCAATGTGCTACAACCCCTTACCAACCTTCACAATCTCAGTTCTACCATCCATTTATACAAGCTTGTTAGGTAGATTACTCAGTTTCCTGTTGTCCCTTCAGGTTGTGGACGATCATGGCTCCCCACAACATTCTATCCTTGATAGTTATAAACAAAGTTTGACTATCTTTCCCAATCCCTGTTCTACCATTCATTTACACAATCTTTTTAGGTAGGTTACTTGTTTGCCTCTGCATCTCTTACCTTCAGTATGCCCTGTGAGTATCACATTCTCCAAACCCTTTCTCCTCATTATGTGTCCCAGAAATTTCGGCTGTCTCTTTCTTATTCTCAGTATAAGTATCCTTTTTGTTTTCATTTTCCTTAAAACTTCCTTCTTACTTACATATCCCATCCATGATATTCTCAGAATCCTTCTCTGGAACTATATTTCTGTTGTCCCAAGTCCCCTCTTCATTTGTGAAGTGATTGTCCAGCATTCACTGCCCAATAGGAGAATTGATATTACATAGCAGTTCAATAGTCTTTTCTTTATTTCTAATTAAATTTGCCTGTTTCTTAATACTATATTTATCTTTTGGAAGGCAACTTTAACAATTCCAATGCACCTTCAGATTTTCATGTTACATTTCTTATTGTTTGTTAAAACACATCACAGATATTAAGAGTTGTTAAATTTGAATACATATTTTATACACTAAATATAACAATGATTATAGGACAGAAATAGTGATTTTTTTACATTTTTTTTGCCTTTGTTTTTATCAAGATTTTCATCAATAAAAAAAAACTTTAATATATAATTTGCTAGAAAATACAGAAAATAATTTCACAGAAGAATGTTGATACTCTTTATTTTAGCCTTATTTATATACAGTAGAATACAAAGTGAACAAGTACATTGTTGAAGAGAATATATTTCAGTAATAAAAACAAAAGATATTTTAAATCATATTCATCTCCAGTTTTTTTTAAAAAGATAAAAATACTAGAAAATTAACTTTCTGCATGTTAAATGTCAAATTGAATTTGCTAGCATTTGAGTTTTAAATCAAACAATCATATTTTTGCTCATTTTTTTTTCTTAAGTCAGTGTTACTAGATACAGCATTTATATACATGTCTGGTTTTCTGTTGTCCAAGAAAAGAAAGCTGTAATGAAAAGGCTAACATAAACAATTCATAAAATTTATAAATTTCTTTCTTCTTTGTAGTGGCAAACTGTTACCTTATTTAATCATGGTGTCATAAAGATGTAGGTAATATGATATTACTTTCAAATTGACTTTTATTAAAGATGTGAATTTAATTGACTTAGGAAATACCATTGATAATTTAGATATATCTTCAGAAAATATAAATTTGAATAGTCTGTAATTGTGAGAAGAGTTATTAACTTTTGATAATTTACTTCCTTCTTTGTGTGTACTTGAAGTTTCTTTGAAAGAAGTTTTCTTTTTTTTCTGCACTAGGTGAAGGCTGAAGAATGGATCAGCTGGAATGCTATGCTACCAAATTTAAATATAAAAAGAGGTTCAAATTTTTAACAATATTCTGTGGATCTTTTATCTGGTTTCTTGTTTCCCTCTCACCTACAATCTTCAAAAATTGAAATGCAACATCACTTTCCCATTTCTGTCTTCCTCAAGTCTGTTCTTTTATTGTCCTTTCTCCTTTCCTCCTTTTTCACTCCCAGTAACCCCTTGCATCTTAATGGCATTATCACCTTGCTTTAGGTAAAATGATTAATAAAAATCTATATATATATATATTTAAACTAAAAAAAATGATATTACCTACTGAAATTTTTTTTCTTATCAGAAGAGAAAAGTTTTTGTGGTACCTTTCTATTTTTACTAATGTTCATCCAATACAAGGCTCAAGAGCCACTCAAGGTAGAGGGTTACTGAATCAGGTGTGTAATATGAATGCAAGAATAGGAAGCAAAAATAATGAGGATAAATAATGATTAACTCTTTACTTGAAGTGGTTAAGAATGTAGCAATAGGGAAAGCATCCACAAGGGAGTCTGTTCCACAAAGCAGCAATTCTTGGAAAAAAATCTGAGAAGAACTTCTGGAATATGGAGGGAATGAGTGTGATTCAACTCCGTGAGGGTAGTGTATGAAATATGACATCAAATTTCAGTATAAGATGAATACAATTGACAATGCCAAAGGTATATATGTATTGAGAAGATGAAAAAATATGTGAATAATGTCCATGGCTGCATGTGGAACATTATTATATAAATGTTTCATTATTGTTCAGTTATATGAGAGGGTGTCAAAGTTCATGGCTCATGTCACTTATTGCCGTCTCTCCTTGGTCAAGCCAAAAATTTCTTTGCAACCTCTGTATACAAAGTTTGTTAGCAGTTAATAAGTTATTTAGTCAGTTTTTGTAAGCTGTAATATCATAGCTAGAATTCATAAAACAAATACATAAAACATTACATTGACTCAAACAGTAATTATACTTTATTATTTTGGAAAGATAGCTTCACAAATGTCAAAAAAAAAACAAGACTAAGCTGTAACAACACACACACATACATACATATAACAATAATAGCTGGCCACTGGTATTCAAGGATACCTGTCTACTAGGGTGGATAGCCAATCCCTATTGCAGACGCTTGCTCAGGCACACTTGTGTTTGTTCAATGCCCACAAAGCCCACCTGTGGTTTATACTGCAACTATGCTGAGCAGACCTTAGTTACAGTTTCTGGGAGAGAGCATGTTGTCTAGCATGATCAACAATTTGAACAATGCCATCACACTCAAACCCTTGGTCTAGATGACTTATGAATTCATGCTAGCACAGCTATTGACGGCCCCCAAAGTGTTCTGTCTATCCAATTTCACTCACAAATCTTGGATCA